GAAGCCGGCGTGCTCCGTCCCGGCTTTGTAGGGATGCGAGGTCAATGGTCTCACGACTACGGCATGTACGACTATGAGTACATCCCCCCCATCACTATAGATTCATGGAATTTACGAGTAGTACGTGATATGCTTCAACATATAGCATAGCGGCACACCGTTAGACTGTATAGACACAGTTCGCTGGTTCGATCCCCTCCGCGTTGTGTGATGTTCCTGCGCTAGTCATCTCGAAAGGGAGGAAATTTGTCTACCGATATATCGGTTGGTCAACTCAACGTCAACTCAACGGTACACTTGTTGTTGTTTGTTGTTGTTTTTCTTTGGCTAATCCCAAAATCTAGCGAAGACTCGGTCCGTGGTCACAAAAATGCTAGAGCCATCAGAAGATCTGAAGAACACAAACACTATTAGCAAGTAAAGGGTACGCAAGCCCGAGGAGGTACACCTGCAATCCCTGCAGCACGTTTGTATTCTCACAACTGAACTACACGCCCGCACACTACAAATCGACTACAGCAGCAGCATCACCCCCCTTGTCCCGCATTTAACCAAAATGAATAGTTGTCGACTACAGCGTACTGCTGTCTTAAGTGCTGTCTGTACAATAATAACACCATGGTGCATAGTACACAAGCTCGGGGCATGCAGCTGCTGTCTGAAGTGCTATCAGAATGAGTCCGTGGACATACAATGAAGAACACCCGACCAAAGCCATCATTGCAATTGGCAATCACCCGAATCTATCCAGATCATCTGTGTTAGGCACAGCAGTGTGAACATCGACACTGACTAGGAATCGTTCCACATTGAATTCCACGATGCAGGTACACAATTAAGGCACCCGGGTAATCCACGCCATCTCTGCCGCGGCTCTCTACAAAACCACACACACCCAACACCTCTACTCAGGAAAAAAACGGAAAAATAATTGACCACACAAGAGATGTTTGTCCGTGCGTCACGGTTCGATGCCGTCCGCCTGCTCCGGTTCCGCTGCTCCGGTGCCGCTGTGGCCAGTCCTAGCACGACCAAACTCGACCCGGTCCGCTTCGTGCACGTTCTCGTTGCTGTCCATCCCAGTCGGTTCCTCGCTTTCTCCCTCGTTGCACTTAGGGTTCTTGGTCTAAAAATTCTCGCGCCGAAGGGTCAAGCAGCCCAATCAGCTCGTCACCACCTGTCCCCTCCTCCTTTGATGGCAAAACCATATTACTGAGACAGTACAGCTCCCTCTAGCAAACCTAGGGCCGTGTACATAGTGCCCGTCCACCAGTGGAATGCAATGAATGGAAGGGAGGGGAAAGCTCACACATTTTTTTTTCTTTTCTCCTCCTTCACACCAATCCGCGGAAAACCGCTTTCATAACCCGGCACGTTATACCCGCTCGGCCTGTAACCCCCCCACGTAATCCCATGTAATAACCCCTCGTTGGCCGGAGGTTACACAACCCCCCCGTACAGCCGTGCCCACTGGCCACCTGTGCAGCTGTACGGAGTGAGTGCTGCCTGTGCAATAACACCATGGTAGGAATGGTACAAGATCGGGGCGCGCAACTGCTGTCTGAAGTGCTGTTTGAATGCGTCCCTGACATACAGTCAACAACCACAGCCATCATTGCAATTGACCATCACCGAATCCACCCCCGATCCCCCGATCATCTGTCTGTGTAGGACACAGCAGTGTAGTGAATAATCGACACTGACTAGGAATCGTTCCACATTGGAGGGGTGTTCCACGATGCCGGTACACATAAAGAAACCCGGGGTATCCGCGCCATCTCTGCCGCGTCTCTCTACAAAACTAGTGACGCCATCACAAGTAGCAGGTAACCAACGCCCCGGTGGTCTAGTTGGTAACATCGGAACCGTAAAGGTCAGGTCAGGGGTTCGAAACCCGGCGTATGCGAGCTTTTCTTGCAAAGTGAGTTTTTCTCTCGCTTCCGCTACTGGCCTAGTGGATAGCATTAGGCCGTGTGTTCACAGAGGGAAGAAAGTGCTGAGCTCTTGTCGCATTATCAATCGAAGGCAAAGTACCGCAGGAGGGGAGGGTAGAGAGGGACTTCTCTTGTGTGACCACGGATTGGAGTAAACAGCACTACTATTTAGTGCTGTGAGCGCTGATTTGAAGTGAAGACAAAAAAAACAAAAATACACACCGATGTTCAGGAAAAAATGGAAAATATGTGATAACACAAGATGTTGGTCACGGTTCGATGTTGCCGTGTGCTCCGATGCCGCTGCCTCGGTATCGCTGCTCCGGCGCCGTTGCTCTTGTATCGCTGCGGCCAGTTCCAGCACGACAGCACTCGACCCGCTCCGTCCGTACACGCTCTCGTTGCTGTCCTTCGTTTGTGTACCCCCGTGACCACCCACGAAGGTTGCCGTGCCCACCCACGGTATGATGTCTATCTGGGGACTATGTTAACCCAGAGGACCGATGCAGATGATATATATCCCTAACACACACGTGCTCTTCCAGCACGGACCGATTTCAGTACAGGTCCTGTTTCAGTGAACGCAAGCGCGGGCTCTCACGAGGGGGCCCGCACTTGGACCCCCAACAGTATACCCCCCGCACACATGTTCTCTGCAGATCGGATCTTGTATCCAAGTACCCGAAACAGCCCCCCTGCTTGATACAATATATACGATCTGGAAGTCCAAGGTGGATAATCTTCCAACCAATACAAAAACGCAAATAACCACTCGAGAAACATCCTCTACAAAACTGGTTACGCATTTAACGCAAAGCGTCTCAATCAGTTTATTCATGAAACCCAATGTATTCTCAAACCGTTAAAACGAAAGAATCATCCTCAGAAGAGTACCCAACAACTATTCAAAAGAGTTGACACGACATCATCAAACAACACAAAGTTTCAACTTCTTGAACAATTAAAACAAGCATTCGGCAAGCACAAAGGCCCCAACCAATACTCGTCAAAACATGTCAAACCCTTCCTCCTCCAATATAGCGTCCAAGGACCAAATCCTTAACAGCGCGTACATGCTATAGGTGCCCCAGTTGTTGTCCGAGAGACGATAGAAATATAAGGAAATATCCATGCAAACAGCCCCCCTGCGGCAACATTTCCCGAAACATGCAAATACCAATATCAATACGTAACAGCACCCCAGCTGGAACGTTTCCCCGAAACATGCATACAGATCTGCCTGTGTTTTCTTCCCCTCCTATTCAACCATCAGAAGATCTCAAAACATCAAAGTATATGAAACAGTCCCCCAGCTGAAGCACGCCCTGCAAACACAAGAAATACATATACGCATTCGCTAGTGTTGCGTCTGGAATCATGACAACACATGTCCTCCCCCCCTGATTTTCGACACAAAGCACAGCTTAGGAAACGCGTACACAAAGAAAAAAAATACTTGAATACTGAATGTTCATCACAAAATCACGGTGGAAGCAAAATGCGCTCTTGTGCAACGGTTTCGTGAGAAAGTCCGCATGCTGAAAAGTCGTGGGCACGTGCACAATCTTAAACTCTCCCCGTGCTACACGCTCCCGAAGAAAGTGGTGACGAATGTCGATGTGCTCAGAGTTCGGTGTGGTGGCGGGGTTGACCGCAAGGTGAAGAGCGCTCTCGTTATCCTCGAACACCAGTGTGCACCCAACATCGCGACCCGAAACAATAAAACCCCAAATATACCACAAGAAAATCGTCTCCTTCACACCGTCAGCCATCGCAACATACTCTGCTTCCGTCGACGACAGGGTCACACTTTTCTGCGTCCTTCATAAAAACGAAACACATGCACCGCCGCACATCACAACTGCTCCCGAGACCGTCCGCCGGTCAGTGGCCCGGCTGGCATAGTCGGAGTCAACATACAAGCGCAAATCGATACCCTCCCGTGAACCCCGCTGAAATGTAATACCAAAAGTACTCGTGAATTTAACGTACATCGCAATATGCAACGCAGCCCGCCAGTGTATGATATACGGTGCATGGGAATATCTCGCAACGGACCGCACGGCATTAAGGATATCCGGCCGAGTCTGGTTAGCAAGCCACGTGAGGTGACCTACCAAAAAACGAAAATGCTCAAGACCATCAAGTTCGTCAGCAGAAAAATCGTCAAGCTTCACTCCAACAGGCATCGGGGTCTCCTTGTTGCGCGTGACACCAAACTTCGCAACCAAGTTGACAGCAAAAGTTTCTTGCGACAATGTAAGCGTACCAGCATCCCAATCGCGTGAAAAACGAACTCCCGCACACAAGCGCAACGCTCCGAGGTTGGTGATGGGAACGTAGGCGTTCAAGTCTCGGCCAAACCTGTCACACCCACTATTTCGCCCGATGGAAAAAATGTCATCCACATGCACCACAACTACCATGGGAAGCACACCATCCTCGATCAAACGCATAACACACGCATCAGCAGCACATTGGTCAAACCCAAAGAGATTTCATGCCCCGAACAAGGTGGTGGCGCCACGTGCGTGACGCCTGCTTCAAGACTACGGGCAAGTCTCACAATCTTACCCGAAAGGGGCCCACAACCCTGCGGCAGACGCACGTACACGATCTCATTTAGCTTCGATTGCACAAACGCTTGATCAGCATCAAAGTGGGACATGTCCCAACCCATTTCACGCGCGATAGCAGACAAGAGGCGAATACTCGGATGGGTAGGGCACGGGGAAAGTCTCGAAATAGTCAATACCTTCACGCTGACCGAAACCCCTAGCGACAAGCCGAGCCTTTGCACGCAACACATCACCGAATTCATCAGGTTTCCACGTGTAGACCCATTTGGCAGAGATGACGTTCGTTCCTCGTTGCTAGAGCCCTCCTGCCGGCTCGAACGTGCCCGCCCCAACCAGACCATCCATCTCCCGCTTCTCGGCTGCTCCCCAAATGGCGCTGTGCCCGCCCCGCATGAGCTTGCGCGTACGTCGCCGGGGCTCGCTGCAGGTGTGGCGCTGTGGGAGGCACGGGAGGGGTGGGCGGGGGGGAAACAGACAAGGGTAAACTCTCCCCCCGCTCGCGCGCCCTCTCATCCCCGCTCAAACTGCTGCCGTTGCCGTTGGCGCCGCTCCCGCTGGTGCCGCTTGGTGCGAAGCATCACCCCCCGGCACGTGCCCATGCATCTCTACCTCGATCGAACGGGAGGTCCACTCCCAGCACGGACCCCTTGGTCGCTCTCCTCCACGGGACCGCTTCCCTCTGTCAAAGGGATGTGTTGACGCTCCATGCCAGGCCGCGCCATCTCCGCCGTCGCCGCTGCTGCTACTGCGGCCACCGCTGCTCCAGTCCTCCTTACCACCGCTGTTGTGATCTCCCTCCTCACGCACCTCCTGCGCAAATAACCCTCCCGGGTCAAAAGGGTACGACGCGCCCCTCTCGAAACCGTAGATGCCGTTGTCTCCACCGCTGCTGCAGGTCAGGCCGCCGCTGTCGGCGCGCGTATCTTGACTGCCCGGCGCCAACGCGGCAACCGGGGACGCCGCTGCTACTGCTGTCCCCACCGCCGCCGTTTCCGTCGCAGCCACTGCCGTTGTCGCTCCATGCGGCGTTACTCCTGCCGCCGCAGCTCTGGCCGAAGCCGCCGTTGCGACCGCCGGTGCGGATGCCGTTCCACAAATCCCAATCGTTGAAGATGGGGCAGCAGGAAGGATCTCATCGGCATGGTTTGCTGTGGGTGATAGCACAAGTGAGGCTGCTGGCTGCTGCTGCTGCTGCTGCTGCTGCTGAGACGGTGACTGCTTGGGTTGTTGCGATGCCGCGGATGGCGAAATTACAAGAACGCGGTATGGTCCGGGAATCTGCCGCATTGCTACACTTATACTGTACCCGGCCTCCATGAGATCCAGTTCTGCGCGTTTCCGCGCTACTGCAGGTGCTACACGTGATGTCGTGGGTCGCGGGGGAGAATGAGCGGCGGGGTGCCTAACTGCGTTGGGAGAAGATATGTTGGCGGGGGCTTTCACCAGCAAAGACGCCACAAACGAACCGGCAGCAGCCCCCCCCCCCTTCTCGCCAATAAACACCCCACCACTCACCTGTCCAACCACACCGCGGGTGGAGCCAGCCGCCAGCTGTTGTTGCCNTTGCTACACTTATACTGTACCCGGCCTCCATGAGATCCAGTTCTGCGCGTTTCCGCGCTACTGCAGGTGCTACACGTGATGTCGTGGGTCGCGGGGGAGAATGAGCGGCGGGGTGCCTAACTGCGTTGGGAGAAGATATGTTGGCGGGGGCTTTCACCAGCAAAGACGCCACAAACGAACCGGCAGCAGCCCCCCCCCCCTTCTCGCCAATAAACACCCCACCACTCACCTGTCCAACCACACCGCGGGTGGAGCCAGCCGCCAGCTGTTGTTGCCGCGGCTGCTGCTGAAATCCACCAGTGCTGCCATACACCACGCCTGGCTTCTGCTGCTGTTGCTGCTGCTGCTGCTGCTGGAACACAGACCCGCCGCCAAAGCCACCGTTCCTCCGCTGCTGAAACAGTCCGCGGGCGAGGTTGAATTTGCAGTCCTGATGTACATGACCTTTCTCTCCACAGCAGCTGCATTGGTGCTGCTGCTCGGGAGGGGGAGCAGCGGGAGGGCGTGGGCGTTCGTTGGGCACCAGCTGCTGCTGATGCTGGTACCGGCTGTGCCTTGTAAGGACATGGTTGTGGCGGCTGCTCTGCTGCTGCACTCCTCTCGTCACCTGCTGCTGGTGTCCACCGTACCACACATGGGGCTTCTTCCCCTCTCTCTCTGAAAAAAAATGATTTGGATCGCGACCCTTCCGTCCGTGTCAAAAATAATCTCCCTGATCCACCGGCCCCACCCCCGGCATGTACACCTCCTCCAGCTGCCCACCCAGCTTGACCACCTGCTGCCTTCCCAGCACTCTCTAATGCAGCTATCTTATCCATCGTTAGTGCAAGCGTCTTACTTATTTCCTCTACCGCCTTCTCCGTGGCTGCTGCCCTCTCCGCAGCTGCTGCCTTTCCTGCAGCATCCTCAGAATCCGACATCGGTCGAACTTATACGATTAATCGTGTTTGTGTACCCCCGTGACCACCCGCGAAGGTTGCCGTGCCCACCCACGGTATGATGTCTGTCTGGGGACTATGTTAACCCAGAGCACCGATGCAGATGATAAATATCCTTGATTAACACACACGTGCTCTTCCAGCACGGGTCGAAGTCAGTACAGGTCCTGTTTCAGTGAACACAAGCAAGCGCGGGCTCTCACGAGGGGGCCCGCACTAGGACCCCCAACAGTATAGACTACCCCCCGCACGCATGTTCTCTGCAGATCGGATCTTGTATCCAAGTACCCCAAACATCCTTCGCAGTCGGTTCCTCGCTTTCTCCCTCGTTGTACTACCCCTCCGGTCGCCCCGGTGGTCTAGAGGTATCCTCGTAAACTGCTAGTTGCAGAGGTCGTGAGTTCGAATCCCTACGATGGTGAAAAAAATTGCAAACTTTGCGGGTGAAAGCGAAACTTTCTGAAAAGCTCTCGTGAGTACCAACCTTCGACGTTAACACCGTTGACGAGGGAAAGGGACGGCTGGACGCTTCCCGCGATAAAAATAATAATTCAGCACGCACCGCAGGAGGGGGGTGGGGCATGAAAATAAATAAAAATGAAGAAAAAAGCCCTGCCTGGTGTTAACCCCGCCTCCTGTGTGACCCTGGATGGTTGTGTAGTTGTACGAAAACATACACTGAAAAGTGTAGTACTCTACATGCGCTGAAAAAGTGTAGTACACGTCTCACCACGAAAAATGGGGGGTCTGTCGCCAAAATAATAGGATGAAAACACACAAACACATCACTAGGGTACTTGGTCTTCATTTCTTGCCTCAAGGGTCAACCAGCCCAATCAGCTCGTCACCACCTCTTCCCTCCTCCCCTTTGATGGCGAAGCCAGGTCGTTGAGACAGTACAGCTCCCTCTTGCAAACTTGCCAGGTCATTGAGACAGTAGACTACAGCTCCCTCTTGCAAACTTAGGGCCGTGTACATAATACCCGCCCACCTTTCTGATCGCGTCTGCCTCCGCGCACAAAACTGAGATGGACATTGCTGTCTACACCGACGGCCATGAGGCCCGCGCATCTGCACTTTTGTACCTGACGCACCGACAAGTGCCGACCCAACTTTACCACTACGCACGCCTCGCGGCGGATGCACCGCAGCAAGAAGGTATCGGTCCCTTGAGGGTGAGTCTAGCCATGCTCCCTTGAAAGACCACCCCCTCGCTATGGGTCATGCCTAAGCAAAGGCCTGGCCGAGGCAGCGAGGGGAAGAAGGAAGATAAGAATAGGATCTGAGGGATCGGTGAAAATAGATCATGGTTCTTCCCGAGGGTTCGTCAATTTTACTGGTTCCCAACAGCTGCGAAATGTTGATGGATCTTGTTCTTTCAATGGCAGGCTTCGAATCTACGAAGGCCCGCCCACTTGCGCACTACGCACCACCCTAGCTTGACTTGAGTCCGCTCGGTCACGCTTGACATTTCTCGCTACATCGCACCAATGCCTCCGGTGGCAGGTCATAGCCACCACATCCGCTCGCTCAGAGTTGAGGGCTTCAGTTTGTATGATGGGCATAGTCCACTAAATAACCTTGTTCCGTCGCGCTGTGGCATCAGGAAGAAAGTCTGTGATGTGTATTTTCGTGCGGTGGGGGGGCAACACGAGTGGCACCACGCAAAACTGCCGTACCCTACCGAACACCAAACTATTTGCAATCATACACAGAACTACCCACTAGGCCAGGTCATGGGTTCGAGTCCCGACAGAGTGACTTTTTCTCGCTTATTAAATCCTGGTCTCCGCTGGGAGCGACGCGCTGCAAAGCTCGTTGTTAGTAAACTTGTTATACTTCATAAGTCGCGAGGGAAGGGATTGCTGTACCCTTCTCGCGATAAAAATATCTCAGACAGGAACTGCAGGAGGGGGTCCAACCCCCCCCTCCTCTGTGACCCCGGCTGGGTCGTCTAGCTGGTAGAAGTGGAGGATAGGGGCCAGAGGGGCAGGCGACAGAATCCAATGATAGGAAAAAATAAATGAATAAATAAATGTCGGACCTGCTGCACCCTTCCGAACATTCATTCACCTGCTGGGTACACCCGTATTATACCGAGCACTCATGAACAGCAGTGATGCCATCTTTCAGCATGCGGTGGGTGCCAGCGGTCGGTGTGCCGACCCTCGGTCTGGCGGCAGTTTCTTTTAGCAAGCCACGACGCCGAGGGAAAAGGGTGCATATCCATAGGCATACGATTTGATTGCACCACCAGCGAGCCTCTCCATTCCTCATCATTATCGGTCGGGTGCAAGAACCAGGACCCACCAATCAAACCCGTCAGACGACTTCCCTCTGCCGGCCGGTTGTCGCAGAGTAGGAACACACACGTGTCACGTGAAGCGTCTGTCCAATGGGTGTGTTCTGTAGTGTAGGGTCTGTAGGACTACTGTATGTACTGTAGGATATCCGCTGCCATCGAAGGCAACGCATGCCGCCGTCGGTAATACAACTGGGACGTTCCTTCCCATGACTTTCCTTCTTTGTCAAAACCTCCCCCCCTTGTATGCATAGACTGCCGTAACTGTAGTAGTCTTCAACATCGAATCGAAAAATATTCCATGTGAACAAAATCAATATCAAAATGCACATGTTTTTGTTCATGTTTACAGGTTTGGGGCGGAGAGCACCTCCACGTCGGCCTTCACTCCAAGCTCGAGGGGGAACACGCCAAGCTGGAGGGGTTGGAGCGCATCAGAAAGGCCAGCTCCCTGAGCACCGACGAGCTCCTCTCACGGTGCTTCCCCTCCGGCACGAATGGCAATGGCGCTCCCCCCTCGGCGGAGTGTACCATGGTGGACCTTGGGTGCGGGTACGGGGGCACTGCGAGGGTGGCTACCAAGAAGCTTGGCTGCAAGGTGGGTCGCTACAATGCTGCTTGCTGTGATGTTTACCAAATGCCCAGGGTAGAAGATCAAAGGAGGGGGCGCGGAGGAAACGGGATGTTGCTCACTTGTCTTATAGCGGGGCAAGGCTTGGGAGCATGTGTCATGTCTGATTGATGTCTGGTGTCGCGCCATCCCCTCGCATGGTGGTTTCGTTCTTCCTATCTCGTTTGTTCTTGCCACCAGGTGGTGTGCATCAACGTTTCGAAGCGTGAGAACGAGACGAACGTCGCCATGACCAAAGAGGCCGGCCTCCAAGACAGGGTGAGGTGATGGTTCTTGGTACGGACTTGGTCTGGGCGCGTTCTGGTAGGTTTCATGATGACGTCCTGTCCTGCCAAAGAGAAACACAGCAAACAGACACTTCAGTGCACATGGGTTGCCTCCCGGTTGCCTTTTTTTCATTATTCACAGCCAAGGGGTAGATTGGCGTAGCCCACATTCATGTTGCGTATCTGACGATGCGTTCTATGCTGGGAAGGTGTAGAGAAAGATACTGGGCAATTGATTCTTATTCCTTCCACTCTAGTGTCCATATATCTTTGGTATGGTTGAGGTTCCTACCTCATTATCTTGACGTGGCACAGCAGATGGATACTTGTGGAATTATTCGTCAGTTCAAGTTCGGTGTTGTTGTCGTAGCTGTATTTGTTTGTAGTCTTCGCATTAAAAACTGTTCCGTTCTCTTTGCCCAGTACACAGAACCTTCTTCTGTCCATATTATAATAGGCCTAACATTTGACGGGTCGATTCCCGTGGTCACAGACTAACTTTCCCGAAAGGAGGTATGGTACGAAAATAAAAACAGACCCTCAAGAGGAACTCGGGTCCGCAAGTGTGCAAATGAACAATCTCCCGTTCCTGTTTCGCGTCGTGTTGTGCAAATGTATGTTTAATACTTGGCCGATAGGATTATTATATATATAGACAATTTGTACGGATAGCGCCCGCACTGAAGAACTTAGCAGTTAAGAAATTGAGACTCGCAAAAAATCAGAAGTTAAGAACTCGAGCACCATTTGGGAGCCGACACTAAAACCTATAATGCGGCCATCGTATGCTACATCGTTGAGGCAGCTCATGAGTAGACCGCTGTACAGGATGTTGATTTCATGTGGTGTACTGCTGTAAAAGTGTTTTTGTTTCCTTGGTGGTTGCAGGTTGGCGGCTGGTGTGCATTAAATGGAGGTTACATTGTTTATACATGTCCGTGGCGCACAGCGCCAGCACACTTGGACAAGCGAGCATTTATTCAACAAGCAATGCCGCTGTGCATCCAGGGGTGGTGGGGCACGTGCGCACGTCGGTGGGGGCTTGTTCAACTTGAGTTGAAGGCCACAAATAAAAATGCCATCGTGTACAATTATCTACGGGATGGTTCGGACGATATGTCTGTTGATTGGTTTCAAGCCTAGTGCTGCTAGATAAGCACGGCTGACCCGGTTGACAGGAATGAAGAGATGGTAAAGTCGTTCATTGGGTTTCCCTCCTAGGCAAGGAGCAGGAGAGAGTGGGCGCCACGTGCGCCACAAAGCATCAGGCAACAGTCGCAAGAAATCCACCGACGACGTAAAGACGCATAGACTTTCCGCAACTCGGAACAAATCCAACTACCAAGGACACGTCGGGAGATACCCCGAAGATCCACGGCTGCGGAACGGTCACTTGCACACTTTCTCGCTCTCAAACCATATATGAGTACTACCGCAGTAGCGTTCGTAAGGATGACATCATCCACCTCACGGACACCCTCCCTGATTCTGTACATCGTCACGAATGCTGCCAAAAACCAAAGTATTCAGGGTAGACTAGACTACTCACAGAAAAGCAAAAAATATACGAAGGGAAACCCGGCCACCGGATCAAACCGTCCGCCTCCAAGGTCATCCTGCTGAATGACTTGTCAACAGAAAATCAACGCAGCAGTCACCAAATTGCAAACCTCCGCGTTTACAAATAGAAGGCGCGCCTACAGCCCAAAGCACCAATGTCAAGTAGCAGCGGAAAAACGAAGGTTCTGACGCCACATCGCTCATCGCAGCGGAAAACGAAATTATATCTGACGCTACATCGCTCCCAACTGACGTCTAAAAAAATTGGGGCAGTCTACCAAATCGCAGTGAGAGGTGGCCCCCTTAAAACCTGTACATCAGAGGTAGACCAAGCAGCACTCAACCGCAGAGAGTGCTTCAGCATACTTGCTGTTACATCGCTACGGGAGACACTGGTTACAGACATCTTCACTACTTTCAAGCAGTCCCCTCCCAGCAACAGGATCCCTACTGTATCAAGTTGCCTCAGTACAGGGGCTCGTCTACAACCCCGAGCACCGTTGTCGATCCATAACAGAAAAGCGAAAACCAACGCTACATTGTTCTCAGCGGAAGGACATACAAGAGGGCAATCATTCACATCGCAGGGAAGTGTGCCCCCCTCAACCTGTGCATCAATGAAGGATCAAGCAGTATCTCGACCAAAAACAGCTCATAAACCCACTTGTTGGTACTGCTACAATGGGAGGCACTGGTCGCCATTCGTCACGAAAAAAGGGGGCGCAGCTACGTCAACGCTCCCTGACTTGAGAGCAAATATCTCCGCCTCAAACTGGTGTGGGCTGGGAAATAATTCCGACATCATCAATCAAATCATTGCTCTTTTATTTCATTTTCTCTTTCCTTACTGTTTCCTTTCATTTTCTTCTCTTCTTCTCTCTTTTTCTGTGCCAGATGGCCTTGTCTCTGCTTGCGTTGTGAAGTACCAAGATTGAACCAAGGGGGTGAACCTCATTCTCTCCGGCCCGTGATGGTGACTCCTAGTCTCAGTTGTCACCTCGCATAGCGCGCAGAGCGAGTGGAGGACTCCAGAATATCTGTCGTTGATTTCTATTGACTTGCGGACCCCTCGGGGCCATTATATTTGAGTGTACCTTTTTAGGGTAAGTTAGCCTGCGACCACGGGAATCGACCGCGTCGAGTGTTGGATCAGTACGGACATACGAAGGTACTGGGTCGAGAGAGATGGGAACGGTTTTTAATGTAAAGACAACAACAACAACAACAACAACAATCAAATCAATGTGACCGCGGCGCCCCAGGTCATCCATACCAAAATGAGACAACAACAGAATGCCACACCATCAATATTCATCATGCAAAGACGCCTCATGCTTCTACCTGTACGACGAGCTACTGAGATGAGCATGGGGGACCAGACAAGCAACGTCGAGTTTAGTAGGCTGCCTGCGTAACAGCTACAACCACAAGAGGGCAGCAAGCAAATCAGGAAAAACAAGACATACACCCACACCCGGAGAAAAATATGGCGTCCAACAATTTTAACAACAGGTGCATCGTCGGGCGTTCGGAGGCAGGTTCCCGGAAAAAATAACCGACCGCACACACGCAGGGGAAGGGCAGTTTTGAGAAACGCAACACGCCGAAATATTCAAAGCGCTTCGTACGCGACGTCCAACTCTTCTTCTTACATCGCGGCCACAGCAACCTCACTCGCCACTTTCGATGCGCATTTTTTCACATGGTGCCCTCTTCCTCCGCACCTCTGGCAGACCTGTTGAGGGCACCCGTGGGCATAGTGGTTTGCGGTGCAGATGTGGCAGCGGACGGACTTTTTCTCGGCGGCACCACCATCACTCGCTACGCATGCCTGTTCGTCCCCTCAGTTTTTCTTCCTCGACCGTCGTTTTCCTCCTAGACCCCTCCCCGACGAACGCATGTTGCACTCGCCCGTCAAAATTCCCCTTTGACCCATTGTCCTTCAAGTACCCAACCCTGGTCCGTAGCACTCTCAACATCTCCTCCTCTTCCAGAATCTTCTCGCTGAGCAGTTGTTGCTTTTGCACGTCGTACTCGGAGGAAATAGCGTCAAGGAATCGGGCGAACACAAGCATCTTTGGGATAGGCTGGCCGAGTGCTAACTCTAGGCTAGCTACGATAGACTTGAACTATTGGAAGAAAACTCGAGGATCCTGGTTTCTCTCTTGTCCGGCAGTATAGAACTTCCCGATAAGCGAAATCTGCTCGCCACCAGTTCGTGGGGTGAACGTCTGCTCAAGTGCACGCCACGCTGCTGAGGGCCCCTTACTATTGTAAACCATAAGCTTGGTAGTCTCGTCTGAAATCGCTCCTACCAACGTGCCCCACAAATCCCGGTACACATGAACCTCTTCTGCAGCTACCCCCTGTTCTATCATTCCATCGTCATCCATCCCTTGGATCTCAATGTCTCGGCTATCGTTCAGAGCATGCATCATTCCGCACGTTTGCACCTACCTGAGTCATGTGGTCGTTCTTGAACATTACTCAGTTCTTTTCTTGGCCATCGAAGTATAGCTGCTTGAGGCGTGGGATACGGGCCTTCATGGTCGGGTCGTACCTTGCCGGCGGGTCACTGGTTTCGGTTTCGCTTTCGCGCGAGACGCCCCCCGCAGACGGCAGCGTGGGTCCTTGCGGGGCTGTGTCCGGCAGTCCTCGTTCTCCCTCGAGCCCCTGTCCGGTGATCGGCGCTTGATCCACACGACCAGCGCCGGGAAGGGCGTGCCTTCCCCCCCGTGACTCTCCCCCGCCGCCCGCTCCGGTCGTACTTCCAGCGGGCGGTGTCTCGGGCACTAACCGAGACAGGGCTTCCATGACGGTTCCTAACTTTCCGTCATCATGCTCTCCATTTTTGCGGTGGACTGGTCGATGGCGGTCTGGACCTCCTTGTGAGTCGGGGCTGCACCGCCAATGCCGAACTCTCCAGACGCAGACGGCATGTGTCCACTTCACTAGGATAGTATGGGGATNCCCGCCGCCCGCTCCGGTCGTACTTCCAGCGGGCGGTGTCTCGGGCACTAACCGAGACAGGGCTTCCATGACGGTTCCTAACTTTCCGTCATCATGCTCTCCATTTTTGCGGTGGACTGGTCGATGGCGGTCTGGACCTCCTTGTGAGTCGGGGCTGCACCGCCAATGCCGAACTCTCCAGACGCAGACGGCATGTGTCCACTTCACTAGGATAGTATGGGGATAACCTTCGCTCTAGAGTGTTGATTGGTTTCAAGCCTAGTGCTGCTGGATAAGCACGGCTGACCCGGTTGACAGGAATGAAGAGATGGTAAAGTCGTGTATTAGGTTGCCCTCGTAGGCAAGGAACAGGAGAGAGTGGGCGCCACGTGCGCCACAATGCATCAGGCAACAGTCGCAAGAAATCCACCGACGTAAAGACGCATAGACTTTCCGCAAATCGGAACAATTCCAACTACCAAGGACACGTCGGGAGATACCCCGAAGATCCACGGCTATGGAACGGTCACTTGCACACTTTCTCGCTCTCAAACCATATATGAGTACTACCGCAGTAGCGTTCGTAAGGATGACATAATCCACCTCACGGACAATGCCTTGGATCAGCCACGCAATAATTATTCAACAGGAGGCAGAAGCAGCAGGTCGTACAGCTTCGTATCAAGGTTGTTCGTGGAGTAATATGCATCGCTCAGCGGAGCGTTTTTTTTTTTACTTTTTTTCTTTCCGAAAATTTCATGAAGCGGAGCGGAACGGTTCAATTCAGCTGGTTTATTCCAGGGGAAGAAGTCAGCGAAAAAAGTCTCCCGGATCGGAGCGTCTGTTTTGTTCATGCGACAGAGCGGAGCGGTTAGGGCTGCTAACCACATTGACTGGTGCTTCCACAATTCAATCTGAAACACGTTTTTAACGGAGCGGTTTGATTTCCTCCTCCGTGGCATGAACCGTGCGAAACCGACGCTTTGGCAACGGTGCTCCGTGAGAAAACCGCCGAAAAAAATCAAATCATTCGGATATCCTAGCTATTGATTCACGGAGTACCTGTGATTCGCGTAATACGTTGGGATATCAAAAAGTCGCTTTTTTGGCGGTGGGGGCTGTTTGCGAAGGTCACCCGTGACAACGCGTCCTCGCTGCCAGCCCAGCCCAAAACGAAGAAAAGAAAGTTTAATCAGCTAGTTATAGTCAAGTGTAAGGACTATTGCCCGCACGGATTCCTCCTCGACCTATTCGTTCCTGCGACACACACCAAACAGCAGGATTTATTTCGTGACCACCTCTCCCTTTTGTTTGAACTTGTCAGGCTGAGTCTTGCGGCGTGATTATTTCGGAGTTTTTTTTTTCTCGCGGTCGGGGGGGGGGGTGGCCTGCACCGAAAAAATCATCAAGTTCCAAACGACCGTCTTACGGTTCCTCGAGGTATATTTTTTCTGAAGCGGAATAAAAGGGGAAAAAGAGGCCTGATACATGTTCTTGTGAGTCACAACATGCTTCAGAACACGGTTTTGGCTCGTGTGCGACCAACACGACACCGAGCGCCCTGTTCATGGGTCACCTGCAGAGGGCATATGTATCATCGCACGCCAGCGGCTGCAGTTTGTGGATGTCGTCGGCCAAAGGCCTCTCTCTGATGGCATGCGTTGTACACTGAACACACTCGACTCGGAGAAAGCGGCAGCAAAAAAGAGCAACGTCCAAAAAAGGCAAACCACACCTCGTGTCACGTTTGCAGGCCGTGTGCAATCAAAACTGGACAATACGCTCTGTTGCTGGTACGCGAGCGGAGGGTATGAGTATGACCACACGCCACTGGCTGCAGTTTGTGGATGTAGACGGCTTTAGGCCTGCCTCTGGCATGCGTTTTGAACTGGTCACACATGCAGCAGGCGCAAAAACAGCTCTTTTCGGCCGAAAGGCAAGAACGTCAGCAGAGCAATGTGGCACAGTTGACGTTTTCGGCTCGTGTGCAGCCAACACGACGCAGAACGCCCTGGATTTTAGATACCTGCATAGATTATGCATGACCTCGTGATACTGGCCTCTGTTTGGCCAGCAGATGGTGTAGTTCCTCGTTCTGGCACGATCGGGGTGTGACCAGGGGGAACCCCCCCCCATTTCTTCCAGCGATATTCCAACTCGACGGCTGTTGGAAAATGACCAATTTTCTAACAGGCCGACCGGAATCGCTGTTGGAATTCGCGCTGTTGGATTTCGGGCTGTTGGAAAATGCCATCTTCCTACCCGTAAGACGCCCAAATTATTTTTTGGGCTCAGAAAATTACCACCCCCCCAAATCCAATCCGGAAATAATCAGACCATAAGACTCAGCCATGCTGGTGTTTGGTAACGTTATTTTATTTTATTTTTTTCTTAATACATAGTATCACACAACAAATCCATCTCTATCGATATAAATAAGTCTAAGATAGATCAGCAGTGAATCCATAGCGTGAGCGAAAGGCTACCTGTATGTCTACGGTTTCCCAGACAGCATACAACGATATCTCCCCTGTGGGTAACAGGCTCAACAAGGCAGTTTGGTAGCCATCTTGTGTGTCTCTATGTTATGTTGGGAAGTTGTAGACAGAAGATTTAGGGGAATTCGGTTTGTCGGGTATTCTACTATGGCACCCATACTTCTGAAGTATGTGGTTGCGGAGCAAGCGCGTCTCGGTGTGTGTATATTTTCGTCATCAACTTATTTTTTGTGTGTGATGTATGGGGGCATGTGCGGCGCGGGAGAACATATTTACCTTGTTGTGTAGTGGCATGTCGTTAAATATGAGGAGGGCACAGGAGGACATTATCGCATCGTTGCCTCCTGACGTGGCCGCCGATAGAGGCGTGTGGTTGGGGTTTCATCACTGACATGTGGGTGTGTGTTAAATGCAGCGGGTATGGTCGCCTCTCTCGCCCGTGTGTCGGCAGAAGGAATGCGACCTTTCCCATTTGTTTGTAGGCAGCGCGGACCATAAGTATTGGCAGTGTATCATGTCATGCATCTACATCATTTGTATGTTGTTGTTGTTGTTGTTGTTGTTGTTGTCTTCACATTAAAAACCGTTCAGATCTCTCTCTACCCAGTACCTTCGTATGTCCGTACTGATCCAACACTCGACGCGGTCGATTCCCGTGGTCGCAGGCTAACTTACCCTAAAAAGGTACACTCAAATATAATGGCCCCGAGGGGTCCGCAAGTCAATAGAAATCAACGACAGATATTCTGGAGTCCTCCACTCGCTCTGCGCGCTATGCGAGGAGACAACTGAGACTAGGAGTCACCATCACGGGCCGGCGAGAATGAGGTTCACCCCCTTGGTTCAATCTTGGTACTTCACAACGCAAGCAGAGACAAGGCCATCTGGCACAGAAAGAGAGAACGAGAAACGAGAAGAAAATTATGTGGAAAAAGAGGAATGAGAGGTTGTTCTAGCTTATAAGCAGTTTTGACGGGTGTGTGTATGGGTACGGGGAGTACTCCCTGTGTCCGTGTTGTTCCCAGATGTTGTCGCATCAAGTGGCAGCATGTGTCATGGACAGGTAGACGTGGAAGGGCGGCGACAGGTGAACGGCAGCAGCCGAATGTTGTGCATGGTGGCATGTTGGGCTTGTACAAAGACGCAGTCCACCTTCGACCACACACGAAGGAGTTTGTTCGTACCTGTCGGAGTTTTGGAGGGCCCAAGTCAGTCTCAAGCAGCAGTAGGAAGGAGCGAACAGGCGCAGTGCTTCTCTACAGCTTTAGATCCGTCCTTCTCAAATCCTAACGGAGATTATTACGTATCGCACAACGGCTGGATCCGAATTGCCGGCTAGCTCCGAAAACCAGGAGAGGTGGGGGAGTAGCTCAGACGAATGGCTGCGTGTGTGCTCCTTCATGTGCATACTTGGCTGACTCTTTGAAGGGTAGAATTCTGGTTCAGCGGAATTTGGCGGCATTTCGGCATTTCCAGTATTTGCCATTGTCACCTGGATGCATGGGAATTTCGGCGAGGAAGTCGGTCATAAGTTTCTCACTCTACTTGCTAGGGACACGTTTCAATTTCAGTGTTCCCCCTTGCGGTTTCAATGGTCAAATATGCGGTTGCCCACACATCTTTGCATCGCTACATACTATAATGTGCCTTATTTTCATTAGTTTTCGTTGTCAGGTTAAGATGTAAACGTTAGAATGTGTAATGTTGGCGTTGAATTCCGCGTTGTTGTTGCATCAATTATCTCATTAACCACGTCGCACAGTTAGTTCTGATCATACATAATACAGTATTACTTTCACATTCCATTTTCACAGGTTGGCCATCCCCCATCCGATGCTAAGACCATTAATTATCTCTCCACCACGAAGTTCTATTCATCTATACGCTTCCAGATACCCGTCTCAACTCTAAGCCAGTACGAATTTCTGACTGTGGGTACATGTACGTTCCTAATGTTCATAGTAACCGGTGATGTACGAAAAAACGTATACGAGAAATTATGCAAAGTGTTACGAATAAGTCTAGAAGAATAGAAGCGTGCAAGCATGTCGTCCATAAGTCTGGCCGTTGCTGCCTGAAAAAATCGAATATCAGTACATCGTACGGCACATCGGCACATTTGACAATGTAAAGTAGACATTTTACAACTGGTAGACAATAATGTCTCCCACTGGGGGAATGCCCGATGTTGCTGCAACGTAGTCGTATGTTGGCGCCTATTATACATCCCAATATGCGTCGTACCCGGAATATCCTGCCCAATTTGCATATCCAGAACATGCGCAGACTGCCCATACTGTTCTCGAGTAATACGAACCGGGTTTTCTATCTCGTTTCCATCCGTGTCTAAAACCGTTACCGGGTACTCACCACCATATTTACCGTCCTTCCAAATAATGTCTTCAAACGTTGGCCCACTCTGGTTACCATATCGTACAGTGAAAGTGTCGTCTATTGTTGTTTTGTTGTCCACAAAAAATGGGGAGACCGTGGACTCAAACCCCGGCACATACGACGCCGCGGGGAAACAAAACAAAAAAAGGGTACAAACCACTCGGAAAAAGAAAACAAAATGATAGAAAGAAAAGAACAGGTATCGCACCGACCGATCGAGAAAAGAGCCCTCGGAAACCGATAAAAAACGAAACAAAAATAAAAATAAAGGAGGACGCTTCCCACACCCGCCCAAAGAAAAAATCAATGGGTAACGTACCAGCACCAGGCACTACGCACCAGGGCATGGGAGTAACGGAGCAAACAGGACAAAGAGGCGGCAGATGGGCAGACAGCCAGACGTACAAAAACAAGG